ATTCTGACGGGAGTGAGGTAAAAATCTCAATGTTGTTATGATTTACAGTTCCTTTATGGGCAGGGGTGTTGAGCATTTTTTTGTGTATTTATTGGCCTTTTATACTTGTTTTGATAATTGTCTGTTCAATTACTTTGCCCATTTATTCGTTGGATTGTTGATTCTTTTCAGGGTTAGTCATTTAACTCCCAGCATATTCTACTTATTAATCCCTTATCAGGTGCATAGCTGGTGAATGTTTTCTCCCTTTCTGTAGACTATCTTGTCAGTCTCATGACTGTTAACTTTGCAGTACAGAAGCTTTTTAGTATGATACAGTCCCATTTGTCAGTCCTTTCTCTTATTTGCTGAGGTATTGGAGTTCTATTCAGGAAGTTGTTGTCTATGCATAAGTATTTGTTGATGGCCATTGCAATATAGTCTCCGGTGATTTCTGTCAGTTAGTTTAAGAGTGTTGGAATTACTTTTGTTTTTATCTTTGCTGACTTTTTCTATTTGGATCATTCTTTATGTTATTTTTCAATCTCTTACATTAGGATACTGGTTCAATAATTCTTTCTGATAGACGTTTATCAGCTTTGAAATGGCTAGTTTTTTAAATTAGTGAAGGAATGGATTTTAAATTATCTTCTGTTACTAACATCTAAGTTAATCACACTGCTGAGAAAACATTTTATTTGTGTTTTGTGATACTAGTTTCATGTGCCATTCATTACAGAAGTTTATAACTTGGTTGCAGTTAGTTAACATAATTAGATATCTTTTAAAAAGACTTGCTTGAACCCAAAGTTTGTAATTTAAATGATTTATTATAGAATCAAAGTATATATATACCATATTGCCTTTATGGAATGTCTTTGATTTGGGGGCCTGGAATTTCTTCTGATAATACCTTGATGAAAATTGTTCCATTTCATGTATTAGTTTTGTATTGCTACCTTAACAAATTACCACAAATGTAGTGGTTTAAACAGCACAAATTTACTAACTCAGAATTGTCTGGGTTAGCAGTTTAGTGAGTTTCTACTCTGAAACTCACAAGGTTGAAATCAAAAGTATCTACTGGTAGGGTTCTTGTGAAGCTCTGTGAAGAATTTACTTTTAAGATGATTTGTTGTTTTAGTAGAATATTGCCAATGTGAAATTGAGGTCATCATTTTTTTTTTTTTTTTTTTTTTGCTAGTTGTCAGTCAGAGCCACTCTTGACTCCAAAGCCTCTCATCAGTACTTGCACATGGACAAGTACATATCAGAGTCAGCAAATCCTTATGCATGGAATCTCTCTAGCATCCTGGTGTACCCAATCTCTACTCCCTCTGGAGAGATAAAGTTCTCTGCTCTTAAGTGCGCATGTGATTAGGTTAAATCTATTTTATGTTCAACAACCTTAATCATACCTACAAAGTCCCTTTTGATAAATACTGCAAATACCTATGAGTTCCAGGGATTAAGATGGGTTTGTATGTGAGTATGTGCATGGGTCTTTTTTGCCTACTGTACTCAATTCTTTGAATTTCAAAGTGTCACACTATGAGTATACCAATTTGATAGTGATTCAGTCTAATTTAAGGGGAATAAATGGGTAGAAAACTCATGCCTCTTCATTAAGAGGATAGAAAGGGGAGATGGATAATAGGAGATGATGGAATAGTGATGTTCTTTCACATTTCTCCTTGTTCTCTTCCATTTCTTTTCTTTCTTTTTTTTTTTTTTTTTTTGAGATAGAGGGAGGTTGATAAAGAATGAGGCATATAAAAGTACAACAAATTTCTGGAAGATTTTTTTCCTTTTGATTTCTTCCCTTCCCTCCATTCCTCTCTTCTTTCCTTCCTTCCTTTCTTCTTTCTTTCTCTGTTTAAAAGATGCAGAATAAAAGAAATGTTTATTAAGTATAACATTTATTGAGTAGAAATCCTCTTGTGGGCATTTTATAAGTAGCTTATGACTGAATTGTCTCAAAAGATGATATTGTTTTGTCTTTGTAGGTGATTAAAGCATAGAAAGTGCAAATAATTTTCTCATAGTTTAAAAGAGACAATAGTAGGATTAGAACTCCAGTGGATTTGATTTCAAGGCCTGTGACTTACTAACTATGCTCTGCTGAAATTCTTGTTCCTTCATTTCCATTTTTCTTGCCTCACAACCTTAATACTGAATTTAAACATTTTTTTTCCAGACTAAATCTTCAATCTTTAAAAAAGTCTGTTACATTCACATACAAATTCTGGGAGTGACCATAATGGAGATAGGAATTTTATTGATGTGCACAGTTTTTATGAAACATAGATTTCTCTCCCCTTTTTCCACATATTTAGTGCTATGTTTTTTGTAGGTAGACTTTATTTTCCTGATAACAGTGTGGATTTTCTTTCAATGAAGTATCACAGTATCTTTCAATGAAGCTATGAGCTGACCAAGTTAAAGTTATTGGTAGACATACGAGTTTCATGAATAAAATCACCGTGAATGCTATAATAATCAAATTTAGTGTTGTAACCAAACAAGGTGGTCATTGAAGCATGGTTCATGAGATTAAAGATTCAGTTATTTCTGCATTTATTGAATATTGCCATTGTGTTAGAGCTGAGCATACAAAGCTTTAAAGACAACTTTGCCTTTGAGAAGCTTACAACCTGGGTGTTAAGAAGGAGTAGAAAGGAGTAAGCCAATTTTTGTTGTCCTAGATCCTAGAGTTGAGAGCCAGATATAAGGAGAAATGAGGTACCTTTAGGATATCTGCCTCTGTAGGGATTGGCTTTATAAGAATCAAGCCAATTCAGAGAAGCTCAGAGAAGTGAGAAGTTTGAAGCCTATTTAGATATAGATGTGTTTGTGAATTTACCAACTGAAGAGTAGGGGTGCTGGCTCGAGCTACAGAGGTAGCTCATAACTGAGGAATGAAGTGAAGCAATCGTGCTTGATGGGAGATGAAACTCAAGACCTTGACTTGGCTAATGAAGTCTACTGGCATCTAAGTCACAGAGTATGTGGCCCATGGGAGCTCATGGAACAGCATGCTTTCCCCACTTCTATTAATTTACTATTTTCTTCCCATATCCTTCAGTGCCAACATTTTGCTGTATTCTAACCTGAAATGAATCATGCAGTCTAGGGTACAGAATTCATCTCCCATTAGTGTAATGTTGGGCAAGGTGTTCCCCTCTCTGATCCTTACATAAATCATCTGTAACATGTGTGAAGTAGGTTTTTTTTTTACTTTACAAGTTTTTAATAATGTTTTCTGTGACTTAATAAAGCACATATCTCATTCCTTCTTCTGAATTAGATAATAAGGAAATGGTAAACCTGTTTGTTTTACTTCACTATGTCAACTTTCTGTAGATGAGACCTTTGTTGCTGTCATCATTTTAATTTATGCCTATTTAGAACAATTACCTTTTATTTTTAATGTAAAAATTAACTTTAACATTGAATTTGGTGAATAAATTTGGAAATACACAATTACATTTGCTTATTATAATTTAGGAGTCTTCTTTTTTTCATATTAGTGCAGTCTAGCTAATGAGTTTAAGATTTAACCCAGATTTGCCTACCAGAAACAAAAACCTGGTATATCTTCCTCCTATAACAATCTAGTATATGAATCACAATTTTCTAAGGCACTATCTTATTTAAGATTGGACATTTGTAGTAACATGGTTGAATCTAGAGGACGTTTTGCTTAGTGAAATAAGCCAGACAAAGAAAGAGAGATATGATGGTATTACTTATATTTGGAAGAAGAGAGTAAAATGGTGATTACCAGAGGCTGGGCATGGATTTTGGGAAAGGAGAAGTGCTGCTTGAAGGGTGCACAGTGTGAGGTGGACAGAGATAAGTTGTAATGAGCTATTAAACAACATGATGGTGATAATTAATAATGCAATGCATGTTTTGAAATAGTGAAAAGGATGGATTTTAAATGGTCTTATTACAGGTATTTCAGGTGATGCCTATCTTCATGAGGCTAGTTCTTGTTTTGTAATTTTTTTTGTTGTTGTAAAGTTTGAATTTAGGGCCTCATGATTGCTAGGCAAGCACTCTCCACTTGAGCCACACCTCCGGCCCTTTTTCCTTAGTTATTTTTCAGGTAGGATCTCTGTGTGTTTTTGCCCCAGGGCAGGCCTCAGACCTTAATCTTTCTACCTATGCCTCCCACATAGTTGGGATTAGGGTAGTGAGCCATCATACCCTGGCTTGTTTATTGAGGTGGGATCTTGCTAACTTTTTTCCCAGGCTGACCTTGAATCACAATTCTCCTGATCTTCACCTCCTGAGTAGCTGTGATTATAGGCATGTACCACCTCTCTTGGTTCTTCATTAGCCTATTTCAATCATCCCAAAGTGTATATACATATAAAACATCAGATTGGCCCCCATAAATATGTTCAATACTTATTTGTCAATTAGAAATAAGATAAAATTTACAAAGACGTGATTGGATGGGATTTCTCCTGCTTTGGGGTGAGGAAGACCTTAAGAGGAGTAGAGCTTAAGATGAGTGAGGTGAAGAGCATGGAGGCAGGCGGTGGTAAAGGAGTGAGTTGTGGGAAGGTGGAGAGAATTCAGGGAAAGCTAAAACAAATGAAAAGCTTCATTTAAAACTCTTTGGGTTTATCAGTGAACACAGATTCCAATGCCTCCTGACTGTAGAGGTGCAGACAACACAGTACTGAATATCTAGGGCTTTTAAAACCCAGAACAATACGATGGAAAGAACAAAAAACTGACCTTGAGCTGGGAGAATGGAATCAGGTGCTTATAACACTAACAGAAATGAGAGGAGCACTAAGTTTTATGGCTTCTCAGACCAGAAAGAAACCACTCTTTCTAAAGAGGGATTTGGTGAGAGGAAAGGGAGGGGTTATTTAGGACTCTTGAAGGAGTTGGTGTTTGTCATGATCTTTAAAGGGGGAACAGCATAAGACCTTGAGCATACAGACCAGGGCTGTTTTACTCTTCTGCTTGCCTATGTTTTGACTCTTGCCTTGTTTGTTCAGCTAGGATTGTGTTTAAGCAGAGCTTCTGCCTCTGTTCTTAACCTCAACTGCAGCCTTATCCTTCTACCCATGTGCCGGACACTCCTGGCTTATCTTCGAGGATCACAGAAGGTAAGAGAAAAAAATCCTAGTTGCAAGTGTTAGCATAAAAATCAAGTGTAATAGTCACATGTTAGTTCTGCTTAGTTTTCATGGTCCGATTTTGTTTAGAGGATTTCTTATTGATGATGGCAAGAGCCATAATGTCAAGATGATCAGTGGGACCTTCTGCAACACCAGATAAGGCAGAGGATTATAAAAATGGTATTAGTGGATTCAGGCACTATGCTCAGCACTCCGTACACACAGTCTTGACTCCTTACAATAATTCTGTAATCAGGTGGTACTGGTCTGTTTATACACAAGAAATCTGAGGCATAGAGTGGAAGCAACTTGACTAAGACCATGAAATGAAGGACACAAGAAAACAAAAACACTTTTAATAGTCATCTTAGTAAAACTCAGCTGAAGTTCTCTTTTTCTTTGATTATTTTTCTGTGTTTGCGTGAGTGTACACGTCTGTGTGTAAACATATGTCTATTTACTATGGTTAAGGCACTATAGGATAGATGATATTTTGAAATGAGTTGTAGCTTGAAGTCATTTCCATATTCTGTGAATTTCATATATGCTGATTTACTTTTCAAATTTTTCATGTATTTATATTTGGAAACTATTTGAATGCAGTAATTTGTGGAAATAACTTTCCCTGGGTTGCCTGCCATTGTTAAATGCTAGGTTTTGATCCCCGTGGCTGGCCATTGGCTTGGCATGAACAAAAGATGGTAAGTGGCAGGAAGTGAAAAGTTCCCACCTAGGTCTCTCCGTATTCATTAAGTCTTAAAGAATTGTTCCCCATTGTGGAACACAGATATTCAAAGATGCTTGACATTTATTTTTCTACAAGATCAAGCTGGCATTTAAACCAACAGATGAGATTGCATCATTTAAAGATAATCCTATATTTTTGACTACAAAAGTAAATCACATATACTGTGAAATTTGAACTTCCAAGAAGTATACAAAATAATCAGAAAGTTTCCCATAATCTTACTCTGCCAGAAAACTATGATGTGATATTTGGGGATAAATGCTTGCAGAGTCATTAATGTACAGTGCCACTGATTTTGAACAATACAGAATTACAGTGTAGTTTATAATTTTTTTACCTGACAATGTATCTTGCAGACTTTTTCTAAATCAATAACATAACCTTCTCACTTTCTTTTGAATAGTTTGTTTCATTGGCTAGATATGCCATAATTCATCTCACTAAATTTAGTTTGATAGGCTTTTGCTATATTTTCAAAATTTTGCTGTCATAAACAATGCTGTGGAGAAAACTTTGTACATATGTCATATTGATTGCATCATGTTTACCATATTAAGTTATTTTTATTTAGGTTCCAAGCAGGAGAACAAGAAGATTGTTGGATAAGAGTAGAACATTCCACATTACCTGTGGTGTTACTATCTGTATTTTCTCAGGTGAGAAAGCCAGAGGATGTTAAATATTCTATTACAATTATACATTTTACTAATGTTGAAATGTATAATTTCGTTGTTCTGTACAATATCAGTTATCACCAACTTGAAATTTTTCTTCACTGACTCATGAGTTTGAAGTGGGTTGTCTGGTGAACTAAAGAAAATGGATGTGTCTTATGTCTAAAAATTGGCCCTCAAACTGTCAGGGACTGTTTCTTGAAAGTAAATAATTTCATTTATTTACACTGGAAGAAACAGACTAAAAGTTGAAAGCTTTTAAAGTAATGGTATGATATGAGCTTAAATGAAATTTTCATTTACAGCATATGATTACTCCCCAAACTATATGTGGTAACTATTTCTTTGATATTATTACTTGGGTAGAAGAATAGGTGTCAAAAAATAGGGAATTTTATCCTGATTTATTTCAATTTAAAAAATATAAAATGAAAATCTTTTTATTTTTAAGTCATTTAAAAATTTTTATCTTGAACATTTATATAATAGTTTTCATATTTTTTGGAACAGAAAGTGCAGGCATAGTGATTAAAAACATGGATTCTATAGACAGCTACCCCTCTGCCTTGTTTGTGATATCACCTCTTATCCTGTTTCTTTTTCTTTCTTTTTGTTTTTTTAACTGTAAAATGGATTGACAGTAGCAGCTACTTCATACCTTCAAAGTTAAAATGAGAATGTGCATATGTTATAGAACATGCATTCTATTCTTAGAATAAAATTAGTTTTTATAATTTGTAATCCAAGGGGTTAGTCATACCAGTGGCATAACACCTGATCATTACTTGATAAGACATAGCTGTTTTTGATACTAAAGTCATTTTAACTAGACATTTATGTATGACCATTTTGACTCAGGAATATTTTGATGCAGATATTACCAAGAAAATATGATTCTACTTGCCTTGTTTGGCTACAAGAATTAAATGAGAAAATTTATACCAAGTCCTTGGCATGGCTTCCTCCCAAAGGCCTAAAACAAAGCCTTGAATTCTTTTGAACTGAAAGATTATAAAGAAAATAAATATATATCACCTTATATAGTTGTTACCTGGTATTTTTTTTTTCAGAATAATTTAGAATGGTAATTCTTGAGTCACACTTCCAGCTCTTTTGTTTGTACAGTATTTTTTCTTTTCTTTTTCTTTCTCTCTTTTTTTTTTTTCTCTCGAGATTGGGTCTTGTTCCCTTTGCTGGGGCTGGCCTTGAACTTGAGATTCTCTTGCCTCTAACTCCTGAATGGCTGGATTACAGTACCCACCACTGTGCTTGGCTGCTGTTGCAATTTTGAGCCATAAAACGTGTAGTTAGCATATGAGCATTTTAAAATTAATTACTTTTTAAAAATTATTTTATTATTCATATGTGCATACAAGGCTTGGGTCATTTCTCCCCCCTGCCCCCACCCCCTCCCTTACCACCCACTCCCCCCCCTCTCCCCCCCCCCCTCAATACCCAGCAGAAACTATTTTGCCCTTATTTCTAATTTTGTTGAAGAGAGAGTATAAGCAATAATAGGAAGGAACAAGGGTTTTTGCTGGTTGAGATAAGGATAGCTATACAGGGCATTGACTCACATTGATTTCCTGTGCGTGGTGTTACCTTCTAGGTTAATTCTTTTTGATCTAACCTTTTCTCTAGTTCCTGGTCCCCTTTTCCTATTGGCCTCAGTTGCTTTTAAGGTATCTGCTTTAGTTTCTCTGTTAAGGGCAACAAATGCTAGCTAATTTTTTAGGTGTCTTACCTATCCTCACCCCTCCCTTGTGTGCTCTCGCTTTTATCATGTGCTCATAGTCCAATCCCCTTGTTGTGTTTGCCCTTGATCTAATGTCCACATATGAGGGAGAACATACGATTTTTGGTCTTTTGGGCCAGGCTAACCTCACTCAGAATGATGTTCTCCAATTCCATCCATTTACCAGCAATGATAACATTTCGTTCTTCTTCATGGCTGCATAAAATTCCATTGTGTATAGATACCACATTTTCTTAATCCATTCGTGGTGGGCATCTTGGCTGTTTCCATAACTTGGCTATTGTGAATAGTGCCCAATAAACATGGGTGTGCAGGTGCCTCTGGAGTAACCTGTGTCACAGTCTTTTGGGTATATCCCCAAGAGTGGTATTGCTGGATCAAATGGTAGATCGATGTCAGCTTTTTAAGTAGCCTCCAAATTTTTTTCCAGAGTGGTTGTACTAGTTTACATTCCCACCAACAGTGTAAGAGGGTTCCTTTTTCCCCGCATCCTCGCCAACACCTGTTGTTGGTGGTGTTGCTGATGATGGCTATTCTAACAGGGGTGAGGTGGAATCTTAGGTGGTTTTAATTTGCATTTCCTTTATTGCTAGAGATGGTGAGCATTTTTTCATGTGTTTTTGGCCATTTGAATTTCTTCTTTTGAGAAAGTTCTGTTTAGTTCACTTGCCCATTTCTTTATTGGTTCATTAGTTTTGGGAGAATTTAGTTTTTTAAGTTCCCTATATATTCTGGTTATCAGTCCTTTGTCTGATGTATAGCTGGCAAATATTTTCTCCCACTCTGTGGGTGTTCTCTTCAGTTTAGAGACCATTTCTTTTGATGAACAGAAGCTTTTTAGTTTTATGAGGTCCCATTTATCTATGCTATCTCTTAGTTGCTGTGCTGCTGGGGTTTCATTGAGAAAGTTCTTACCTATACCTACTAACTCCAGAGTATTTCCTACTCTTTCCTGTATCAACTTTAGAGTTTGGGGTCTGATATTAAGATCCTTGATCCATTTTGAGTTAATCTTGGTATAGGGTGATATACATGGATCTAGTTTCAGTTTTTTGCAGACTGCTAACCAGTTTTCCCAGCAGTTTTTGTTGAAGAGGCTGCTATTTCTCCATCGTATATTTTTAGCTCCTTTGTCAAAGACAAGTTGGTTATAGTTGTGTGGCTTCATATCTGGATCCTCTATTCTGTTCCACTGGTCTTCATGTCTGTTTTTGTGCCAGTACCATGCTGTTTTTATTGTTATTGCTTTGTAATATAGTTTGAAGTCAGGTATTGTGATACCTCCTGCATTGTTTTTTGACTGAGTATTGCCTTGGCTATTCGTGGCCTCTTGTGTTTCCATATAAATTTACAGTAGATTTTTCAATCTCTTTAATGAATGTCATTGGAATTTTGATGGGAATTGCATTAAACATGTAGATTACTTTTGGGAGTAGACATTTTTACTATGTTGATTCTACCAATCCATGAGCATGGGAGATCTCTCCACTTTCTATAGTCTTCCTCAATCTCTTTCTTCAGAAGTGTTATAGTTTTCCTTGTAGAGGTCTTTCACATCTTTTGTTAGGTTTACACCTAGGTATTTGATTTTTTTTGAGGCTATTGTAAATGGAATTGTTTTCATACATTCTTTTTCAGTTTGCTCATTGTTAGTGTATAGAAATGCTAATGATTTTTCTATGTTGATTTTATATCCTGCTACCTTGCTATAGCTATTGATGATGTCTAGAAGCTTCTGAGTAGAGTTTTTTGGGTCTTTAAGGTATAGGATCATGTCGTCTGCAAATAGGGATATTTTGACAGTTTCTTTACCTATTTGTATTCCTTTTATTCCTTCTTCTTGCCTAATTGCTCTGGCTAGGAATTCCAGTACTATGTTGAATAGGAGTGGAGATAGTGGGCATCCTTGTCTGGTTCCTGATTTTAGAGGGAATGGTTTCAGTTTTTCTCCATTAAGTATAATGCTGGCTGTAGGTTTGTCATATATAGCTTTTATAATGTTGAGGTACTTTCCTTCTATTCCTAGTTTTCTTAGAGCTTTTATCATGAAATGGTGTTGGATCTTATCAAAGGCTTTTTCTGCATCTATTGAGATGATCAAGTGGTTTTTGTCTTTGCTTCTGTTAATGTGGTTTATTACGTTTATTGATTTTCGTATGTTGAACCACCCCTGCATCCCTGGGATGAAGCCTACTTGGTCGTGGTGAATAATCTTTTTGATGTGTTGTTGAATTCGGTTTGCCATTATTTTGTTGAGGATTTTCGCATCAATGTTCATTAAGGAGATTGGCCTATAGTTCTCCTTTTTGGAGGTGTCTTTGCCTGGTTTTGGGATAAGTGTAATACTGGCTTCATAAAATGTGTTTGGCAGTTTTCCTTCCCTTTCTATTTCATGGAACAGTTTAAGGAGGGTTGGTTCAGTTCTTCTTTAAAGGTCTGATAGAATTCAGCAGAGAATCCATCAGGTCCTGGACTTTTCTTTTTGGGAGACTCTTGATTGCTGCTTCAATTTCATTTTGTGTTATAGGATCTATTCAGGTGATTAATTTCCTCTTGGTTCAGTTTTGGATGATCATATGTATCTAGAAATCTGTCCATTTCTTTAAGATTTTCAAATTTATTTGAATATAGGTTCTCAAAGTAGTCTCTGATGATTTCCTGGACTTCCATGGTGTTTTTGTTATTCCCCTTTTGCATTCCTGATTCTACTAATTTGGGTTTTTTCTCTCCTCATTTTAGTCAGGTTTGCCAGGGGTCTATCGATCTTGTTTATTTTTTCAAAGAACCAACTTTTTGTTTCATTAATTCTTTGTATGGTTTTTTGGTTTCTATTTCGTTGATTTCAGCTCTTATTTTTTATTATTCTCTCCTTCTATTTGTTTTGGGATTTGCTTGTTCTTGTTTTTCTAGGAGTTTGAGATGTATCATTAGGTCATTGATTTGGGATCTTCAGTCTTTTTAATATATGCACTCATGGCTATAAACTTTCCTCTCAGACTGCCTTAGCTGTGTCCCATAGGTTCGGTAGGTTGTGTTTTCATTTTCATTGACTTCCAGGAACTTTTTAATTTCCTCTTTTATTTCATCGATGATCCATTTTCATTAAGTAATGAGTTATTTAGTTTCCAGCTGTTTGCATGTTTTTGTCTTTACTTTTGTTGTTGAGTTCTACTTTTACTGCATTGTCAGATAGTATGCATGGTAAATTTCTATTTTCTTATATTTG